AAATATCTTTAGCATTCAACATGATCGATTGTCGGAGAGAGACAGACCTTGTTTGTTCACCTCACCACCCTAGTTCAAAAAACATTCTTTCTGTCGCAATAGTTTACCTATGTAACATAGAAAATCAATAGTTTGATAATGAGTTCCCCTAACTTTAACATGCACTTCATAAAATTAGGAAGGCGTTGAAGGACTTCAAGTTTTATTAAAGTAGTACACTTGAGTTAAAGCCATGCATGTCATCAGGTGTAAATTGGTCTGAATGTAACTACGCACAAACTTTGTCCCCTCTCTTTTGGGTCATCAAAGATAACATGCCAACACAGCAAATTAATTCCATTTACCTGACAGTGTTCGGTAGATTGTGGGAGAGGTACACAAGTCAGATCAGTGTTCTGTGCGGGTGTGGATAAAGGCAAGTACCAGGAATTTCCGGATGAGGCTTGTCCACGCAGTTCAAAACCAGCAAGTGTTCAGCCATGTAGCAGCCGTATATCCTGCAAACCACAATGGTTCACGACAAAGTGGGGCAAGGTATAATGAACTCATACTTTATCATTGATGCTATTAAAACGAATGATAGCAATGACCGTATTTGTTTGTATCAGTATGAATTTTAAGAAAGATTTAGAATCACGTCCCCCCATGTAAAGGAAATTCCGGAATCTGGGAAAGTCCGGAATCCTGGGCTTTGAAATCGCCAATATAGTTCAAGAAATCCGGGATCCCACTAACGATTGAAGTCCAAAATCAAATCAAAGTTCTGCTGACAGAGAATCCAGAATCTAGCACCTGGAATCCGTAATCCATGGCTTGGAATCCAGGACCTAAGACAGTATTGGATTGCCTAGTTTACGTACGGGTGAATGACGTTACCACAAACGACTATTTGTACCACGTGACCGTCTTAGTACCGTCGTAATTCTACAGTCTACACAAAAACTAGCAGATTCATGTCAGGTTCATCAATAAGATTGAACAGTTCTGACTTCTCTTTCATCCATCTTGTTCTAGGAATGTTAAAATTGTTAAAACTACTAAAGGTCACTTCTTCTATCTGTTTATTCGCAGTGTTCTCGATCATGTGGTGGTGGAAGTCAGGTCAGAAAAGTAACGTGCCTGAATCATGAAGGAAAAGCTACCAGAGACTGCAGCTCAAGAAACAGACCGCTTCACTATCAACGCTGCAACAATACACCTTGCCCAACATCATCTAAATATTTAGGACAAGTGAAAAACTGTCATGATATTTATACTCGTGGACTATGCTTTTATGTAATACAAGCGAACTTCTGTCAGTATTCACATTACCACAGGATGTGTTGCAATAGCTGCCAGAGAAGACATTGAAACTGGGCCCTATGAAGAATCAGGAAGCTTTGCCTCCGCGAAGTCTACACCTCAGTAGGACACATTGTTGCAGCCTGAAAAGAAGTGTTGGTTGTTTAAAGAGTTACGATCACGACCGAAAAAGAAAATAAGCTTCTTTTTCAAGCCTGTGCCAGTTTCTCCCGAGCAGATAGTAGGGACGTTAAGAAAAAATTAATAAGACAAGCCAAGCGAAAATAAGACGCTGCTTTATGCAACCGGGCCGAACGGACATAAGGAAGAAATATATCGACATACTTATATGAAGTAAATAAATTAATATAAACTTCTTTTCTGATTCAGTATTATTAGAACTGTAGGCTATGTTCACGCGTATACGTTTATCAGCTTTTCACACGAAACGTCTTTTACCCCGTGAACGTGTACTGTAATATATTACGTGTGCACGGAGGCTGTATGGGCAAAACTTTTAGCCAATTTCAAGAGCATTATCTTTCGAAACCTGTGAGCCATGTATCACTTTAAAATTGCATTGGAACTCACGACAGGGAAAGCAAAAGAAACTTTAGAGGTTCGTTCAGAAGCTCTGGTCTATGCTTAAGAATAACGAGGCGCAAAGTAACGAGTAAGGACAAAGAAATTACAGAGTATTAGAAGCTTTTCTTGCGTGCTTTACTGTTAAGCTAACCAGCTATCCGCAACTGGTGTGAAATAATAATGCGGCTTAATAATTAAGAAAAAAAACCAATATATTTCCCTTGTCTTTTAAAAAATAGCATCAGCGAGCTTTGGAATATCACACAACAAAAAGGTTTAACCAAAAGGACCTACAAATACAGACAGAGAGATTACATAGGAATACACCGAGCTCAAATAAAATGTATTTATTCTTGTTCTTTACAAGCAGACTTAGTCTAATGTCATTATAATTATTAGGTTTATTTTATAAAAGAATTTCGTAGTAACCGTGTACGCAAAAATAACAAAAGACGCAAACATAATTATTATTATCCTTCACATAAAATGAAACAGAATGATGATTTCTCCTTGTGATAAATGTACAGTGTACATGTAATAAAATAAGAATAAAACATTTATAAGTTATTTCATTGCAGTGGTAAATGACCAGCTTTGTGCAAAATTGATTGTTCTGTTGATTACACTGTGTATGCCATTGTTCTCTGAAAATCAAGTTAAATATTATACATCCAACTCCTGACTGCCCACAAATAGGGTTTCACCAAAAGTCTTCATAATCCTTGATTCAAAGAGATTCCCCTGAAGGAGTTGGCAAGTTTGGCAGTTGGGTGCTATTCAGACTTCGTATGTCCATCCACTGCAACTTCTTTAGCAGGTGACACTTCTGTTTTGACTTCGCCATTGGCTAATGTGCCCTGATGAAAAAGAAGAAGGATGAGCGAAAACGTGAAGTACTCCTAAAAGTAAGGTTGAACCTCTAGTCAGTAGCTTCCCATGGAGGTGGGTCCATACCCCCTTATAACAACAATTTCCAATGACTTTTAGAGTTTTTTCAGGACTTCAAAATCAGATACATGTGCTCTTTGCATGTTTGTCATGTCTTATTGGTGTAGCTGAATGTAGTTAATTATATACTTCAGTTAATTTCTGTTTTTCCTTTGTTTCAAATTCATTAGCACACATTACCATATCCTGTAATCCAGAAACAAAGGAGAAACAAAACAATTACTTAAAAGAAAAAATTAACTACAACATAGCTGTACTCTGGATGGCGGTCTTCAAAAAATGAGATTAACAAGACTGTTTACGACAGATTACTTTTCTATGACTACAACAAGTTAGACAAGTTATTTCACAAGCCAACTGCTACACCACCCAAGGTTCATTCACTTCCATGTCTGGAGCAAATTAAGGGCAAGTTGGTTCAATGCGTTCTGCACAGTATTTGGACTAAGAAAACACTGTTTATTGTCATTGATAAAGCCTCTGTTTTTTATTTAAGCCTTTTGACTGGTCAGATAAAAAGGTTAATCAAAACTATAAAAAAATTCTCAAATCTGATTGGCTATAAACAGTCCTGATTTCAGCTCTAATAGGACAGTGTAATACAACAGTACATGTCATATTTGTCTATGTAATTGGACAGTAATAGCCATCGCACATGCACTTTCAGATGGGTTTTTATTTTTACTTCAAAAAACTGTTGGAATATCCTGTGTTTTAATTACAGAAAAGCTTACGATATCATAAATTTTGTTATAGTTATGATTCTAAAAATAATATGAAGTTAAAAAAAACACAAAGTCAAAGGGCATGAAAAAGCTAAGGGTATAGAGGTCCCAATCACTGTACTAATCCTTGTACTAAATCTTGCTATAAAAGGTATGTGGTCGCTGACTAAGACTATTAAGCCACTGAATAGTGGTACAATATGGTGGTGCTAATTAATTACAGCTGTAATGTATAACATAACATAACATAACGTAGGACAATACCATTAAATAAAGAAACACAAAATCAAAGGGCTTGAAAAAAACTAAGAGCAGGCCCCAATCATTGTATTAGTCTTGCTCTGAAAGGTATGGGATCGCTGATCAAGACTTAAGAGCCCCTAAATAATAGAACTAGATGGTGCTAATTACAGTTGTAATGTAAATCACACATAAAGCACTGGATGTCATCATTATTATTTTATGCAGTAAAATTACACAGGTGAGTTGCTATTAAAGAGGATAAGAATAATTTTTTGGTCACATGATTCTACAGTTTCAGCAGATAATTTGGGTCGACATGACCTTCAGGCAATTTTAAAAATTGCAACATACACGTACAACTGAATACATGTTGATGTATTTTATAACTTCCAGACAAAAATAAATGTTTTAAAAACCTGTCTTAGCTTAGATAATACAACTGAAATTATGAAGATAACACCCTCTCAAACAGAACGCAAGCCAATATACATAATATCCACCCATCATAAAAATGATAAATTAAACATTCAGCAAATTAAAGTGATATTGCCGTGTATTGTCTTTGGATTTTATTCATTCCGTAGAATCATTTCTGTTGCTTGGATTAAAACTATAAAAGGTTGCATAAGTTACAAGAAATCATTAAGAAAGTCTCTAACGTACCACAGCGTTGCAAACATGTAATAGTAAAGATAAAAAATTAATCCGTTGCCATAATGTGGCAATCCAAGTACGTTTAAGCTTAAGCTAAATCAATCGTGGTGACATGATGAATCGAAGCGTTTTTGGGGTCAGGTTTATCCGTACAAGAACAGCCGAAACAGACCAATTTAAAATACTAGATTCTGGAATTGCGTTCACTTTCATGCTCTTAACTGCTAAGTTTGACTTCATATATATGTCATATATGCTTATAAGCTCACTCACCTTTTCATTAGATTTTTGTAAACCATCTTGTTTCCCACTTTCGAGTTTAGGTTTTCCATACCATCTGTCAATAAGCGGCTGAATTAACTTGTGCCAGATAAACAACACTACTGGCACAAGTATACACGATATTCATACCATTTTGAAGAGAGAAACCCCAAACTTTTTCCTCACTAACAATATTCAACACCTTCTTTCTCCAACACTTTTCTCTCTTCTGTTTTACTTCGCTTAGAGCGCATGCTTTAACTATGTTAGACTGCCGCTGATCAAGTCAACACAGGCTCAGTAATGGAGTCTGCTTTGGTAAGTTTTTGCATTTTTTGTCTGCACGGTTTCAGCGTTTATTTCTTGTTATAAATCGCCACTGCCCATTTTCTTTGCTGATGTTAATGTTATAGGAAGCTTTAAGATCAGTTCCGGACCCAGATCAGGTTAAAAATGCGCTGTCTTTGATGCAAGTGTATGTCAACAACATAGTGAAAGATCCAGACAGTCAAAAATACAGGAAAATTAGAATAAGTAAGTAAACCAAGTATAAACTAGCTTTTAAAATGTCATCAATAGAATCAGCTAAGTGTTAGCCTTTTTATAGAACTAAACATCAGTGAAACATGGGCCAAACAGTCAGACAGGTAATGTACTTGAATCAGCTGTTTTATGTAGCCACGAACAATAGGCTTCTTTCACGATGACAACATTTGACTACAACTACCAGAATTCATTTCGTTTTTGCTTTCTTATTTAAATTTGCCAATCCCGCTGAGATTTAAAAATTAATAGCCCTATTAAATGAGCACAAGAAAACAACAAACTGAAGGATTCTGGAAGTTGTTGTAAAATAACCTCATCATGCAATTGTCCTCTCGCCACTTGTTGTGAATATGTTATAATTTGTCATGATACAAATGACATTTGGTGATAGTTTTCCTGTTTGCTGTATTTTAGCTGTTTAACTGATTCTACCCTGAGACAATAGCTAAACTTCACTAACATTCACATCGGTGGCTACCTTCTCCATACACAAGGCACGTGATCAACTTTCTGTAAACACGAAAACAGTTTGTCTTTGAAACCTTTTTTTTAGCACAAGCTGAAACAGCATAACACAATTTGAGCCAAGTAATGCTCAAGGAAATATTTCATGACCGTTTGAAAATTTTGAAATTTACAAGGTTTTGTATAGAAAACCACTCAAGTGTGACTGGGTAGCAAGAGTTGTTGAAAGAATTACCTGGAACGCTGATAACCTTGTGGCGAAGACTTAAGACGTTTTCTGACTACCACCTACCCCCTATCCCCTTCCTAGCAACAAAATTGTCCCTTCCTCAGCTTGCAAAGAAGTACTTTCCGATAGACCGGGGCTAGTGAATTTTTCTACCGGGTTGGTTAATTTTGTTCTTAACTTACCCGACGGGCAAGTGAAGTTTTTTGAGGAATTCAAATTATACAAGCACTGGGAATCAATTCTGCTCATCAAAATGTTTTTAGGGCTTGTTGAAATGACGTTTGAGCTAGTATATGCTAGCTTCAGCTTGCCCGAATGGCAAACTTGAAAAATGACCTTCTTTGCACCCTGCTTCCTAAACATTTATTTCCTTCTTGCACTGTTTAAGGGAGAAATCAGTTTGCAAGAAAGTGCAGGAAGTTGAATAATTTTTTTTAATGTATAATTTTTTTTTTATATTTTATTCTTTTTATTGATTCTTTTAATAACATACAAAGGTGACCATGCCTACTTTCTTCCAAGGTACATGTAAAGTGATAACAGTTTTTTCCACACTTTTAGCCAACCCAAAGTTTAACTCAGCCATCTGGCAATTAGAGCAGGCAAGAACGTTTCTGCTGTTGTCTGGATTTGAGCAGGTACATTTGCAGGCTAGTATGCCTATTGATATGAGAGTGATTGGGGAGTAACTTGGGGTGATTTTGGGTGGTTTAGTCAAAGTACTTAAGCTGAAATGGCTAATGTTTAAAACCTGCTATTGCAACAAAATCCCCTTGACTCTCCACATTAAAAACAATTTGTTTTGCTCCTCTGAATGCTGGAAACCACATTTCCCAGGACTAAAATTTTGAAATTTTCTTAGGAAGCAATAATAATTAATTTCCACAGACCCTTGTAGAAGATATTCCTTTGGGGACTCATTTATTCTTACCCCTATGACATGAATCTGAGACCCGCTCTAGCATGTGGAAAAAAAAATTGTCAGTTTGAGCATATTTATCTCTGATGCAAGAATAAACCTTTGCACCCTATTGAATTCTATCTTATCCATTTCCCTTGCACTCAAATGCTGACCCTCTGCATTCTAAAAACTGTGATTGGTTAATCTGATGAGGTAAATAAAAAGCATTAAAGAAAACACCTTGACATGCAGAAACTAATATTTTAGTTGTTTGAATGTTCATTCCAGGACGGGGAATTTCTGGTTCTTCCATTTTCTGTAAACATTGATGGAGTTAAAGTCTTGATTGATGGAGCTCTTGGAATTTCACAGTCAAATAAATCAAACAATGCAATAAGAAGTAACCCCACACAAGGCTCAAGTGAACCTGGCAGTGCAGTGCTCAAACTGAGCTCACAAAAAGGTAAGCCTTATATCTGCACAAAAGCATGAAAAATAGTTTGCAAATTTTTAGGTTGTGTAGGCATCCTAATGAATTTGGACAATGTGTTCGGTACTGTGAACAGGTAATTTTTTTCTTGTGATTATCCAGTTGATGGTTTTAGAGAGGAAATATGAATCTCTCTTACTGTTTTGAATCTTGAACACCTTTTTAGGGAGGTGAATAGTATTTCTTATGTCTCCTTGACTTAATCAGCAGCTGTTTACTGCTGTATTTAACATTTTGTGTTTCTTTTTCGTAGTAATAATAATTATTAATTATATTGCTTGAAAAATACTTCTCTTATTTCAAGGAGATGTATGCCATTGTTTTGACAGTTACAAAGAGTAATTTTAGAATGCAATGACGCAGGTAACCATTCTGTTTACAAATTTTATCTTGGCCATTTTATTGCCATTCTATTTTATAGGTGAGAGCTTGTTTGATCAAGACACAAAAGCAGATCTAACCTTGCTCTCTTACATGAAGGAATTGGGTATGTTAACTCATTACAAAACATGATAATGATTTCAATCCTGCAATTTCTTTCATTACGACTATTTTTTGTGGTACCATTACAAGGTTATGACATTGCTGTGGCTGAGCGAGCTTTAATCTGTACAAAGAACAAAGGAATACAGCCTGCTATTGATTGGTAAGGATTACTTATTTAATACTTGACTGCATGCTAAAAGAGCTGATTATTTTTAGCTGGGTGCTAATTCAAGCATTTACAGTAATTGAGCAAGTTATCACCTCTGAAATGGTGTTGCTTCTAATGATTTATTGTTTTACAATGTATCTTTTTAATCCTTCTCTATGTAACCTGCAAGGATAAATGAGAATCCTGGTAAAGCTACAGTACCATTAGAACAGACAGCAGGAACAGCAGTAACAACTGTTGCAGCAGCATCAGTGGTACCTGATTTACCTCATAGTGATAAAAGTAGCTTCAGTCAGCAGTCTGCCGGTACCAGCTTGTCAACTGGGGTAAGTTGATTAAAGATCATCCTTTTAGTATACATGTAATAAACTGTTTTTTGGCCTTTAGCAAAAAAGCAAGGCTGACTGTATACAGGTAGCTTTAAGGTTACAATATCATCCGATATTTTGTCAGGTATGGCCTTTTGTCTTCAAACAATGACTAACTAAAGAGAAAAGTGGTTAAAATTTAGAAAGTCAAGATACAAAAGGGGATCTTCTTCTTTCTTCTTTTACACTAAAGATCTCTCAAGATCCGAAGATGCACTCTGATGCTCTTCTCAGTCTCTCTTCTCAGCAAGCCTGATAGCCTGCGATGGTGTACTACATGTCCATTCACAAATAAAAAAACGCGATAGTCTCAAAATTGAAAAGGGTGTACAACTTAAAGCCACATTTTAGGATCGCAATAATTGTGGAAACAGTAGTCAACTAGCCTGAATTTCAAGTTGCGTAGAGGAGTATGCAACTCGAAGGGATTTCTGAAATTCAGGCTATAGCCAAATACATAAGGTTTACATTATTATTCTTCACGTCTATTGATCAGTACCCTCTTCATTTTTGGCCTTTGTTTTGTTTTTGCCTTATTCCCAGAAAAGGCGCCCACGATTGCATCCGTCCCGTCACACTTTTCACCCGAGGAGAGGGTTCGAGAGAGGGTACTAGGGAAAAGCCAAGTTTAGAGTGGATATTCATATCGAGTGACTGCAGTGTTATGGTGCTTTATGTCTACAAGCTCGGTTGCGGTTCATTGTGCGATCACTTAGCATCGTACAGCGTCACTTCTAATTTCCACCCCAAACTAGAAACTGTAATGTGTTAGAAGTGTGAAAGTACTAACTTTTTTGCGTTGTACATATAGGCCTGCTGCCCCGCCTCATACAATTCAACAATGCTTTGTTTTCACTGTCGGCTGATGTAAACTCACTAATATCGCACATCAAGAAAAAGGACATATCTGCCAAACTTGTAGCATCGTAAACGTTTTCGAATTATAGAAAGGCTTTCTATAATGATGGATCAACTCATATATCATACATTATAAGCTCCTAAAAATCCTCTTCAACTTGCAAATCCCCAACATTCTGTTTATTCTTCACAGCCTGCTGTGGTATCTCGATTCCAAAAGACAATTGATGAGAGACATAAGTTTCAAGAGAGACTCAGACTTGAAGCAATTGAAGAGGCAAAGTATGAATTTTTTTACTGTCGGTAAATACGTGTACATTGTAAGAGCCATGATAATGTTTTAGCGTGGTATGGAGCTTGGGTCTTCGATGCAGTTGTGGGCATTATTAAAACAGTGTCTGTTTTTGCAGGCTGGAAAAACAAAGAAAAAAACTTCAGAAAGAGTATTTACTCAAAGATTTGAGAGATGAGAAGGATGAAAGATTAGAAAAGGTACATGAATAAATGAAAGTCATAATGAGCCATTCTGCAATAACCCGCCATGATAATCAACAGCATAGAACTTTTGGTACTAAGTGACTGTCTCGTTGTAATAAGAAAGTATTGCTTGCGCACGCATTTTTTCAGTCCTCACTGTTATTATATCGGCCCTTATCACGTAAATATCATTTCGCATAAAGTTCAAACATTTTTCACGTCAAGCTTTACAGTAAAAATGTGATAACAACTTTAAGAGGTGTAAAAATTACCTTGAAATCAACATGGCCAAAGCTTGAAATGGGTCTGTCTCGAGTTTTTCAAACTACAGTGTTAGGTTTTCCAATACTATGGAAGGATTTTAGACTCCCTTTAGCGCCTCATCTACTTAAGTCGCTAGAAACATGTACAACTTACACACTTTCAAGTGAAGGTCTGATTTGTGAAGATGATTTATACAAAAGTGTTTAAGATGCAAAATAACTTTTACACGAAGCAGCCATGAGTGATAATTGAGGACTTCTCCAACCATTAAATAGTATTACCGCCATACTTATGTGGCGTCATTTTGTTTTAAGGCAAAGCTTGCTAAACTTGCAGCAGACACTCCTGAGCCTTCAAGCACAGCCTCTACTGATCAGCAGTGTGATGAAGGAAAATCATCAATGGTGGAATTGAGAATAAGGTTACCGGATGGACAGGTAAAACGAGCGACTTCAGTTGAATTTTTATTCTTGATTGTATTAAATTTACAAATTGTCTCAAATTGGCTTGAGGTACTGACGTCGTTGTGTTCCGTCATGAACTTCAGACGTTTTCGCTAGATGCGCGGAAGTCTAGTTACTTCAAAATTTCAAATACTGAGCTCCTTTGCACTTGGACAGATGTACGTTCCTCGTTGCTTATTGCAAAAACACGTTAGCCATTAGTCAAGCGTAGATAACTCAAGACAGCGCTATGTTTCAGAAAAACTCAGCAAAGATTTTTCAGAAATTGGTGGCTCCAGTTTACACTTACTCTATGGAAACTGAATCTCCATACTGGTCGTTAGGCTCGATTACCAGCCGCTGTTCTCGGGGACTGGACAGAGAAAGCGGCGGAAATCGAGCCTAGTCGGCTGGCCGTATGAGAAAACCTATTACGAAAAGTTGCATGGACAACTCATCGCTATTTTATATTTCGCAGATCCTGTCTTTTGGCCTTCCAAGTGATTCAACGGTGAGGGCCTTATATCGGTAAGTAACTATGTCAGTCCGAAAATGTGACTGAAAATTTGTCGTCTTCAACTCACCTCAACTTTTCTTAACGGGAGAATTTTTCAATGTATCTGCCCTCCTGGGCTCAAAAGACCTTTCGAAGTGGCAAATCGACTTCGCTGAAGGAACTAACTCCACGTTAAAACAAGTTTTATTGTTTAAATAGGCCTCAGGGTTAGATTGTTTTTTCTGGAAACAGTGGTATACTCCGGAAGACGCAAGTGACGCGGCCAATGTAGTCATTAATTCTCAAAAAGTTTTCATCTATATATTCATTCATTCATTTCTTTATTATTCATTTAGTGAAATCAACAGACTATGGCATGACAACCAGAATGTAGACGATTTTCTGCTCCTGACATCGTTTCCCCAGAGGCGAATCTCTGAAATGGAAAGTACCCTTGAGGCAGAAGGTAACTGGAATCAGTTGCCCAAATCCTCTCTCGGAATAGAAAGTGTCCGCATAATTCTTTCACATGTTATACTAAGTAATATGTCAATATTTAGAGCGTACTGACTTGTATGCCGTACGGTGGAGACTCTACAAGAGGGGACAAAAGCCCATCTAAATTCTCAGAGTATCAGTAGCTTCATATGAATGTTTCACAGCTTACTTGCTTAATCGGACAATTACTTGGCATTGTACAATAGGCGATTCCCGAGTGGCCTAGCCTCTGTTACAAATGCGAAGCCATTGATATGAAAATGCATGAGAATAAAAAAGTTTTTTTATTCTCATGCAAGTAAAACTTATGTTCAGTGCAACAAAGGTTTTGCACTTAATCTTGTTTTTAATGTGAGAGTTTTTAGAACTCGGAAATGGCCTATTTTATAGTAACCTGAGATCAGGCCCAATTTTAGCGGTTCTCATACATTTCGTTTCGCCTTGCCCGCCGGAATGTTATTACAAAGCGAAACGAAAATTGAGCCTGATCTTAGCTTAATTTTATAGTTGTTCTGTGAAACTGTGTTGTTTTCTTATCACCTAACATTGTAGGCTTGTCGCCGCGTGCAGCACTTGTTGTACAGAAAAAAGATCAACAAGGAGTGGTTACCCAGGGACAAGGTCCAGGTAGGTTTTTTCGGCAGGGGAGGGGAGGGAAGGCAGGGGAATGTTAATCATTTAAATGTCTCATATTTTAATTTGTTTTTCCTGCTGCAAGACTACAAACAATGAGTTAGATCTTGGTGAGATATGTCTACAGGCTTTTCACCGTTGCAGGCATTGCGCGTAGCTAGCACAATAACGATATGGCCTTTTTTATTTTAGTATTGAACGTGAAGAACATCACGAAATTAGACGAATGGCAAGAAGTTTTAAATGAACAAGACAAGCTTGTGGTTGTACAATTTTACGCCGATTGGTAAGTGGCTTAGAAAGTAAGCTTATCAGTTGGTACATACTTATATTTTATTTAACCTCATTTGCCGGGTCAGTACAGGAAGTCAAGCACCGAGTTTCTTTTCTCTTGGTTTTAAAAACCCACATGTGAACTGCTGGCAAGTAATGTACAGTCCCTCCTCAAAACAGACAACAGTGTTGTTTGCTAGTGTTGTGTCAAGGCAGTTCTTCAATTGCTGTTTTGTTCTTATTTGTGTTTTTGCAGGTGTGCCTTGTGCAGGTCTGTCGCAGACTCGTATGATTCACTGAATGTCAAGTATGGACTGAATGGACAAGTAGTGTTTGCACGTGTTAACGTCGACAAATTGAAAGTTAGTGACATTAAACTTTCTTAAATTTATTTCTTATTGTTAGCACGCTAATATGTTGTAAGTTCCTCTTACTGCCACTTCCTACCGCATGTTGTTGTTCTTGTCAACTTATTTCATCTTAAGCATTCAAGGAGAACAGATAGCCTGCGTGGCAGGGGCAAGAAAATGAAGGGGAGGGAGGGGAGGAGAGGTGGAAAAAAGTGAGAAAGGGAAAAGGGAGAGAAGAGGGACTTTCCTTCTCTCCCCAATCCCCTTTCCCTTTTCCGACCTTTTCACCTTTCCACAACGGCCACCTCTCTACAACGGCCATTTTTTTTGGCGGACAGTCCATAGATTCACTCTTGTTTCAACCTCTCTACAAAGGCCCCCTTTCTATAATGGCCACTTTCCTCTGTCTCGAAGGTGGCCAATGTAGAGAGGTTCAACTGTATTTTTCAGCATATCCTATCAACTTTTCCTTCTGCAAGGTGTTGAAGTATCAACAAGCGATCGCTTCACTACCAACGTTTAAACTGTTTTGGAATGGCCAGGTACCGTATTACTTAGTTTTGAATTTGTCAAGTCAATTATATGCTGTGTGCTGTGTATACAAGTCATAGCATTTCATTTAGTTATACGATTCTCATTGAAGCTTTGTTGTGATTCTTTAATAAAAAATGCAGCTTGCAAGAGATAAATAAGTTCTTTGCTTCTCATATTTTTCTCTTGGTGTTGTTCTTTAGTCGGTAGCTCAAGTTGACGGAACTGACATATTAGAACTCGAGCATCAAATCAAAGAGAACTTAAATGGTCCCGTGGATGATTCGGGAGAGGAGTCCACCTCGAATGAGATGTATTTTGACCCAAGATAACTGCAGCAGAGTAACTTTTAAGTAAAAATTCGTCCGTTTTTCTCCGCCAGAGGCTATGGTGAGAATGTGTTACTTATTATCATAACTTTATTGGTTTTAACGCGATGGTTGGGAAACTTTGGAAAGAACTAAAGATATCATTCAGCAATAATATGAAATAATATTTTACTGGTGGTAAATATTTTTTACAAAATTAGCACTTGAGTGGACCCTACGGTTCGAAGAAAATCGCCTCTAGTAAAAAATTTGGCTGATATTTTTGACTGAAATGTCTGGTGTCGGCTTATAAGTATGCCATGTAAATTTCAGAGAAATCGTTGGAGCAGAAGTCCGTAATTAGAAAGTCCTTCGAAATTCAGCTGTGAAATTGTTTTGGAATTTCGAAAACGAATTGCTCTGACTTACAACGAGCCACCAATTCGAATTTTCGGGACAAGTAATTCTAATATTTGCTTATTTTTTAAACAAAGCCGATTGCCAATCTTGTTATTCTTTAAAAGGTACTCTTTAGTTTTAGAAGCACTATTAATTGCTCCAAACCTTGCTCTGAAGTCGGATGACTTGTTCCACGACATTTCTGAAATATCCTTCAGCAGTTTTGGATGAAACTCCTGCCACATTTTCACTTCGCAGTAAAAGTGCAGGATGTCTGAAAAGGGAGGATGCTGACGGAAAGTTTCAGGAAGAAATTAGCATTTAACAAATGGAAGGATAATTTATAACCTTTTAGTAAGAGACCCGTTTTACAATTACCCTTTTTAATTCACTGGCAACATACAAAATTCATTTTTGAACAACCTTTAAATGGAAAAAAGTTTACCGTAGAATATTGTAGTTGTGACGAGAGCAAATTCACGAAACTGGGATATGAAAAGTTTTGAAGGTATACGATGCAAAATGATTAAAACAAAGTTTGTTGATCATGTTTTACCTGATTTTTCTTTGCCAGATTAGTGGGGAATCCTCGACCAAATATTGCACTTAGTAGTCTGAACCCTAAACAGTCCCTTACTTCTTGAGAAACGTTTATCGTATATTGTTACAAGCTGTAGCATTCAAAGCTAAATACCTTAGACGGTTCCAGGCGTTCGGATTGTGGAGTGCGGCACGAAGTAGTAAGAGAGCGGGAAAAAATAAGGAGGAAAAGTGGTCCTACTCCACCCCCCGCTGTTTTATTTTTTTTCTGCTCACATCTCCGTCTTTGCGCCGTCCCTACGATCTGAAGCCTGGAACTGGCTATAAATACCTGGGACCAGGCTCTGCAGTGGGGGAAAGGGGAGAAAAACGGGGTCAAATATCGGCGAGCGAAGCGGTATCCTGGGGAGGGGGAAAGGGCGGCGGACCCAGACTACCTCTCGGCTCGCTTCGCTCGCCGATTTTTTTTTTTTTTTTCGCCAACGCCGATTTTTTCTCCTTTTTCCCACAATGCGGAGCCTAGTCCCAGGCTAGGAAAATTACAGTTGAACCTCTCCACCTTAGCTTGGGGACAGAAAAAAGTGGCCATTGTAGAAAGGTGGCCGTTGTAGAGAGGTTGAAACAAGAGTTAATGTATGGACTGTCAGCCAAAAAAAAATGGCAGTTGTAGAGAGGTGGCCTTTAGTGGAGGTTCGACTCTATAGGCACTTTGTTCCATCCCGCGCGTATCTCAACCGAGTGAAATTATACACTATGGCTACACGAGTGCTGCGTGAGAATTGCAAGCCTTGTGTGGGATAGATAGATAGTTTATTCAAGCTTTAAAATTACAGCTGTAGAGGTGAATTGGATAAAACGTTACCAATGAGTACAAACAAAGCAGTTTTTACTACGCTAAAATGTAAATCCAGAAAAATCGTCTAATAAAATCACCTATATACAATTGCTGTAAAGAAAACTAGTTCTAGTCTGTCCGTATACATACATGAATAACATACATAACCTTTATTAAAGTGTCTAATCGTTCTAGTGCCTATTGGCACTTATTGGGGACACCTTTAAAACTAAATTACATCATTAATAGAAACTAATTAAATACTAGAAAACATATTTAAAAAAGCCGGAAATTAACACTAATCAAGCTAAGTACTCTTTTACACTTTAAAACTAAGTTCTATTTACTTCAAATGGGAATATGAAATATTGGGTTCTTTCTCAGATTAAGACTATATTTGTTTGGCTGTGGTAAAAAAAAAACTGTGTAGTGTGTGGTGGGGATTGTTACAGAGTACTAATGTCATGAAACAATTTGACAATCCCGACCACAAACTATACAATTTTTACCAGAGCCAAACAAACATAGTCTTAATATGAGAAAGGACCCAAGATTTCATGTTGCCATTTGTAAGACGAACAGATTAAATAATAGATTCACTTTTATCCACAAGCTACACAGGTTTAACTTCTCCAGAGAAAATTTTATAAAAATAGTATGTGTGTATGCCTGCAAACATGTATCTAAGGGCCTGTTTACATGGAGGTGGGGGACCCCAGGTAGGTGGGGTAACCCGCCTGTCCATATTATCCCTCATTTTAATTTGATCACGTGGGGTGACCCGCCACATGTTACCTCACCTATCTGGTGTCCCTCATCTCCATGTAAACCAAGCCAAGATCATAGTAACAACTCCTAAGATTGTCTGTCAACTTGGGAATGACTGAACCTACTTTTGAAATGACTCCTGGGTTCAAACCTTTGACAATCAATTATATCCTAGGTAACATACCTAATCTAGAGAATACTGGAAAATGGTAGAAAGAACAGGGTTTTTCTGGCTGACGTTGGTCAAGTTGACCGGTCAAATCTATGTTTGCCCGGAAACAACCAGTTCTTAGCCGGACAAATATCTATTACTTCATATTTCTATCAAAGCACCCACCCCGCCCCACCCCCCTCCCGCATGGCTTTTAAACATCAGACAAGTATATACGTGAAGTATTGCGAATGTCGCTTCAGTTGTTTTCTTCATTCAGTTTTTCAACCTATCTAGCACATACCACAAACCTCTCGCTAGGATTATCGCACACCACACTGACTCTGAGAATAATCCATACCGTGACAGACGCTATTCCTGAACTTGCAACGCCCGGAAATTGAAAAACCACTGTTATGAATCATTTAATTCATAAAAGTTCTTGGTCTGGTAGTATTGTTTTTATTCTTATTTTTTCTTTCCGAATGCCAATAATGCCTTGTCATCTAAGGATTTGGCCGGACAGAAAAGCCCACTATTGACCCAACATTGTCCGTTGAGCGGTCGTTATTTCAAGGGATAAACTGGAAGAAGGGCGAAAAAGAACATCGCAAAGTATAAATAACCCATCGCCCAATCACCCGTGACAAAGGCAACCGTAAGAGAAATGAAAAGCGATGAAAATCCAACATATTCGAATGTTTTTTCTGGGTCCAAGAGTAGTGATCGAAAAATGTCATAATCACTTCTTGTTCGGTTGTTGATGTGTAGGATGCGATACTTTTCTGCCAGATGACCAGCTTCCTGAGTCAAATCATCGGTTTTTTTCGGGTTTCGTTTTCCAAAGAAACAAGTCATGATCTTTGGGACTGATCCCGACATAAACACGACAAAAGTCTTGGATAAAGGAGTGATGTCCACCATCTTTGTTATAAATAAAATAGCGCAAAAATAGGTCAAATACAGTACTGTTTTCCAAATAAGCTTATACAAGTTTGGTTTGATAGGTAGTAGCTTTTCGCAAGACCCTTCGAAAATCGTCTTTGGTATTCTTTTGACCAAGAGATTATTCTCTCTTGTTTTCAATTTGTATCGATAATAATGGTAACGTGTACGATAGCTATCATGATCATCTATTTCCTCTTCCCGCAGTAGCTCACTGAGTACCAAGGCAAGTTTTTTGTATCTGTTGGTAAATGACCTGTAGCTACTCCACAAGTAGTAAGACAAAAAAACGAAGGAAATTGCGATTAGAATTATTTCCTCACAAAACATAATTTTTACAACCAGTTGAAGAAGTAAGAGTACACCAAGACCTGCAGATCGTAGGAGAGTGATTCCTCCATATGCGGCGAACCAAGAGATAAAAAACGCAGGGAAATAGAAAACTATACGAGCAACATTGTATGGAGTGGCTGTTTTAGAATTTTTGTCGGGCACCATTAAAAAGGTGAAGTATTGAGTGGAGCATATAACAGCTATTGGGGAGGTAAACAGCATGATTGTAAAGATGTACGGTAATAACAACATAAACCTTAATAGAATATTACAGAAAACTCTGCGGACGTCTTTATCCATGATATCTTCTAGCTTTAGCTTTGGCCAAAAAGTCCGAAAATGAATTAACATTTGCAATGGAAGGTCGCAAATCAGGAGAAATTCTCGCAACCTATCCGTATCTTCAAGTCCTTGTTTGCTTGGATTTCTTATCATAAAACTGCACAAAAAGGCGTGAATGCAGTAACAGCTGTAACATAGGACGTTTAGTTTGAATGAAGAAAAATCAGTTCCAAAATTAAAAAAATTGTGTCGAGGCCAGATGTAAATATGATGTAAATATTCTACAAATATTGCTGGGAGAAAAAACGGAACGGGAAGGATTAAAACGCGCATAATGAACCTTTTTATTCTGTTCCACGTCGTGTCATCCGCGCGAAAGAAGCAGTTTCCAATTAGACTCCGAAACCCTATTGGACTTTGCCAAGCAACGATAATTTGACTTTCTTTGTCTTTGACAGTTGAAGCTGATGCTAGTGTAGATGATATGGTTGATGTAACTTCTGTTGCAGGGAATAAACAAACAATCGCGGGACCAATATATATGAAAAGGTAAATACAGCTAGAGACGGCCGCCCAAAGTAGAAGTGTTATCGGCGATCGTTTGAAATCAGTTATCATGAAACAGGTCTCGTCCTCTCCATCACACATTTTTCCTCCAAGCCGAGCAATGTGGAGAATTTTCTGTTTGAAATAATCTGGGGCCAAATCACTGTTTCTTGTCAATTTTGATGTAGTATTAGAATTAGATGTAAATTGAAAAGTACAAGAGGC